GAGGGGAAATGCGTTATGCACCCCCGCCCCGTGGGGATTTGGGCGGGGAGTGTGGGACTCGCACCCACTAAAACCCCTCAATGGCCTCCACCGGATTTTATGAGGGGAAATGCGTTATGCACCCCCGCCCCGTGGGGATTTGGGCGGGGAGTGTGGGACTCGCACCCACTAAAACCCCTCAATGGCCTCCACCGGACTTTGTGAGGGAGCCTGTGGCAGCCGAGAGGCTATTTCATCACCAGGCCCCCCCAAGTCCCAAGCGTGCCCCCAAAGGACAACGCTCCCACTCATCGTTGCCATTTGGGGTTGCGGCAAGAAGAGAGGGCCATAGCTCTCTTCAGGCCGCCCTTCCCTGGGGACTTGTGCAATAGCGTGGCAAGTTCCCCAACTTGCCACCCCAAGTCCCCGCCCTTCGTGACCGAAGTCAGGTTAATATACTATATGCGCATCCCCTCCCGCGACCAAGCAACCCCCTAATGGAGGCTGGGTCCAGGGATCATACCCGAGCCATGACCCCTCCAGCCCGTGCCAGTGGTTTGAGTCTTGGCTAAAACACTAAATACCAGGTAAACTATACTTCAGTATGAATTCAAACCGTGCGAAAAATACTGCAAGTAGAGAACCGGTTATCTTTCGATAATAAATAAAAGTGCTGTGATCTGATCGATTATTGATAAGTTAAATAACAACAAAGTAAAATAAATAATTATATAATATTTAAGAGTAATAAATATATTAATATTTGCGAGCAATGGAAACGTAATTTTATTTCAATATTCCAATTTCGAAATTATTAATATTGAAACTTATTAATTTATTATTTTCATGTTTTCATGTATATATTGTAGATTTGCTAAATTATAACAATTCCAAAGCTAACGGTAGATCGCCATGAGTAAAATTAAAAAGACGAAAAGTATCAAATCGAATCGTATGATTGTGTAATCGACGTACATAAATCTTTAATACATTTATTTGTTGAAGTTGATGCAAAAGAGAGATATTTCACAATGGTTGTCAATTTGTGAATCCCGAGACATAACCTTTGTTATACTGTCGGAGACGTCAAGGAAACAAATTCCCGAGCAGGTAGAAAGCTACCAGCCACCGCCGGTAGTTGATAAGCAGTATGTATAAACGTATATAAAAAAATAGTAGGATTAACGACCGTAAACGCGTTGTTCTTTCTTTTTTGAAACGACGTGACGGACGGCAGATACGACGAGAGAGATGCGCTCGCGAGATGCAAACCTACTGCACGAAGGGAGTGACAGGCGAGCTAGAGTTTGCGGTTGATAGCTTCGAGATATTTCACTCCGTTAATATGACGCGCAGAAAATAAACTCGCTTCTTCTTCCGAGCTACACATCTCGCGTTCTGCTCGCGATGCTGTCGTAAAAACTTTTCGTACAACTTTAATTGCCCTATTAAACAGCTTGAGCTTATCATTGCGTCTTGTCTTCTCTGCAAATGTACACACGCACATATATAAAAACATATAACTGAATATAACGATAATTATACAATCGAAAATTGCATTAAATCGACAACCGTAGCTTTTGTCGTTCCTGTTGTCTTCACAAAGAACGCGCACATCTAGCGTGTGTATGTACGTCATCTAGATCGAACATACACACTTTCGAGACACCGAATTTAATCCGAAACAATCTCTAATCATTTCTCAAGATGAGAGACCCCGCATGTCGCTCGGACACTTTTCGAAACGAGAAAAACATACGGCCGCCGCCGCCTTCTTGACCGACATTTAATATCTGACCGCTCTTATTATCCTCGCCGTGACGTGGCTATTAACTCGCCGCGGGATAACGAAATCTCAGAGGTCCGTTGGAATTTGTAAAAATAACAATTTTGAAAAAATAAACCTCCCGCACTGTCAGTTTTAGTAAAACTCTTTATAAGTATATCTCGGTCTTCATTATATTCGAAAAAAAAGCAATGAGATGTGAAAAACTTGGCGAACTACCTTGTCTGTGAAGACTCGTCCGAGAGCTCTCTTACACGAGAGTTCTATAACGAGAACAGAGTTGCATCTCGCGATGATTAATACATTAAATTGCATTAAAATTATAGCACATCGTAAATCACGATAATATTACGCGATAGGCAGGAGAATTCGCTTTGACGTGCCGCTCTGTCGCTGGAAGAGGCTCGAAGAGAGAGAGAGACAAAGAAAGAGAAAGAGAGGCCTCAGGGTGCTGGATCTTTTCGGCTGACACCCGATACGTTTGGCCCCCATTATTATTCCTAACGTGAGGCGGCTATTAGCCGCCTACCGGACAATCGACGCCGATACCGGCAACTGGAACACACCGCGAGAGACGCATCTCACCGACCGAAACGAGAACTGCCGTGTTTCTCGCGGCGGTCGTTAAGCCGGTCAGATAAATCGTAACGCCCAGAAAGTAGAAGAAAAAGAATTTCGAACGAACGCGAGAGTTCGATAGCATTTGCATTAGCTCGTTCCGCGAATTGCATAACTCGAGGTAACATTTCACGTTTGTTGGAAATTCTTTTCCAGATCCTCGTCGCTTCTCCGAAGAATCCTCGGGGAGTTCTTTAAATTATTTGCAATTGTGTGAATTTTTTTTTTCAATTTTACACACAGTGAAAAAAAGAGGACGAACCCAACAAAACGTCTCGTTTACAGCGCTTGTTGCAAAGTTTCGTTTCTATTTCTTTCGACTGCAATTTTTTAAATATCTCTTTAGCTTTCCCGTTTGAAATATTCAGGCGTATACTTTTCTCATTTAAAACGCACGAGGAGTGTAAGAGAAAAAGCAGAAGAGAAACACACGCGTTTCTATTGAGTAACGGAAACAGAAAGCGGCAGCGGGCACGCGGCATCTAATTATCGATTCGAGAGTGTCATTCAAGCGCTACGTCGCTTTGCACAATTACGAATTAATGACCGATAGAGAGGAAAACGCGCGCGACGCGGCGACGCCGGGGTTTTGTATGTGTGTGTGTGTGTGTATGCGTGTGCGTGTACGCGCGCGTGTTTGTGGAAACGCGCGCTCGCGTGAAAAAATCACGTACGACAGCCCTCCCCGCGCGCTCGCTCGTGCGTTATAAATTCC